TTGGATTCTCCCAGAGATGGAATCTTAAGTCAGTCCATCGGTAATCACCTGGTCAGTACTAGGTAGGTCATCTGCCTGATAGACTCCAGCCATCCTCTGCAGGAAAGTAAGTTTACAATAACCAACCTGCTCTTAGTATAGAGCACTATACTAGTACACTAGTATAATTTCCTAGTATAATTTCCTGCTCCCTTCTGCTTATAAAAATTTTTTATTTTGTACAGCTCCTCAGAGCTCCTATCTGTCTGCTAGATTTAGGATACTGCCCAATTCATGAATCATGAATAAAGCCATTAAGATTTAAATTTACTCAGGTGAAGTGTGTATGTGTGTGTGTGTGTGTGTGTGTGTGTGTGTGTGTGTGTGTGTTAAACAGAAGCACACATAAACAAGACATTCAGGTTGTAATAAGTGCTCTGAAAAAGGTGATCCCAGGGGCCTGTTTTAGACAAGTTGGTCAGGAAGTCCTCTCTGAGGAGGTAAGTTTGAACTAAAGACTGAAGGACGGACAGGGCAGCCATGCAACCAGAGAGCTACAGGCAGAAGGAAGGAGCTGTAGACGTTTGCACGAGTGCCAATGCCACTGTTGGCATGGTGGGTGCCAGGGTAAGAGCCAGGCAAGGCCAGACACTGTAGGGCCCGGTCACCCAAGGTAAAGGTACTTTAAGGGATATAGAAAAGCATTTGAGGGCTTTGAATCAATGGACATGGATTGGCTTGTATTTCAGCAAGGTTCTCGTGGCCACTGGTGGAGGGTGGATAAATTTGGTGGCAGTGACGGGGAGTGGCTGCAGGGAAGCTAGTGCAGGAACTGTGCTCCAGACCAAGTGCACTGGAGTGACAGGCCAGAAACTAGACAGGAATGGTCTGGAGACTGAATGAGAAGGGGAGGGAAGAAAAACATCACGCCCAGGCCAATCTTTACAGAAGTCCTGACGTGAATGGGAGCAGAGAAATAAATAGGGTTGCAAGGTGGAAGGGGGTAAGAGAGAGCTTTTTTTTTTAAACATGGAAATTACTAGAGCATGTTTGTATGCTGCTAAGAATGGTTCAGTAGAAGGGGAGAGGCTGGTAATGAAACAAGGGCAGTAATGAGGAGAGAAGTCCGGAAAAAGATGAAAGGCAGTGGAAGGGTTGGCTTCCAAGAAGTTAGGGAGACAGAGCACACAGACAGTTGTGGATAGGTTTGTGGAAACGCATACTGAGGTCTATAAGCAAGTCCTGAAAAATGATGAACACGCTCACAGTTAAGGAGCAGCCCCCTAACTTACTTGAACACAAAAGCCTATGTGCACATAAAACGTCGCAGGCAGAACACCATGTTTAGGAAGGGTGGGGGCATGACAGTCACTTTGTACCATCTGCCCTTCCTCCACTTCCTCATCCCTTTCTCTTCCCTGAGCAGTGCCCTGGTATCTTTCTGGTTCCCTTCTCTCACAGTAACCACCTGGGGCTTGGCATGCCTCATTCCTGACGCACCCTGCACCCCATCTGTCACTGCTCTCGGTGGAGAGTTGGGTATTTATTTAGGTCTCTAAGGCAGCTGATCACGGATGGAGGGGGGCAGGTCAGAACCGTCTTGGGAAGCTCCTAAGAAAACTATCTCCCTCATGGTTCTAATTCTGTATGAGAATCACCTTCTCCCTCTAACCTCTTCTGAGGAAACAGAGCTGCAGAGAGTTGAGGCAACTTGTTGTAGGTGAGGCAACTAACGTGAAGCCAGGATTCTACTTTAGACATCTGGTATCAGAGCCCATGCTCACATTACTAATCCCGTAGTGCTGTACAGTTTCCTTAGGACACAGTTGGAAGGCCATGAATATTGCATTTCAGAGGACAGAAAGGGTATAGATAATGGGTCCTAGTCATTAGCTTATCCAGCCCAACATTTATCAAATGCCTACCTCCCAGGCACGAACTAGGTGTAAGACACTTTCTTCTATCCAAGCGTTCCAGAGTGAAGCATCTAGAAGAGAAGACTCACAGAACAACGTGAAGAGGCACACACCACGCTGCTGTCTTACCTCTGTGGAACACAGTGAGCAGATGATGGGAGTTAGCGAGTACGCTCTGGGTTTGTGAAAGGAAAAGTCATCGCAGCAAAGGCTCATCAGAGAAGTGTTTGAGCTGGATCTTAAGCAATGAGGATTTAAAACAGGCAAACGCAGGAGTAAGCAACCAAAGCATGTGCACAAAGATGTAAGGTATATGCCAGGGAGGAGGTTCGTTTGGAATGAATGGTGAGAATGTTGTATGAAATAGAACCAAAATGTTTTAACTGTTCAAATTCTTTAAAAAAAAAAAAAATCAAATCTTGAGTTTGAGGCATTTCTCTCCAATGAGGAATTATTCTTACCAACCAGAGTGGGACTATTCAGGCTGGAAAAAATGACTTGAAGGTCAGAGGGTACAGAAGTTCTAACGTGGGAGACCATGCAAAATTCCTCCTTTGCTCTTTAACATTTCTCCACGTCACACCATTTCTATTCCTTTCCAACGTTAAAGTCTGCAATTGCATTTGCTTGCAGACTATTTTTATAAAACTACACTAAATAGTTCATAAGAAAACTTGCCATCATCATGGCAGCCTGATAAGAGACTATCTCCCATGCTCAGGTAATATAGCGCAAGGCTCAGCAAAATTAAGACCTGTCCAAGATTACCCAAACTCTCCATCTTGAGGTCAGGCTAACCTGGATCCATAGGATTCAATAGATCCCACCCTCTCCAGGACCCTGTCAAGGCACACGTGCTTTTAGTTTCTCCCTTTTAATCTGTGCTGACCCCTCAGTCTACTTTTGTTTTTTCTCGACAGTGAGGATTCTTTTATTTCCTGCCAACTTTTCCAAAGCACTCTTTACTGCTGCTTCACCACTCACTCAATCCTTACTAATCAGAGCTACGCTCCCACACCTGTCCAGGGAATGCTAAGTCTTACATATGTTACACCCAACAAGAATCCCCTTTTTCTTCTGTCCACAAAATGACACTAATGGAATTGGTGTAAGAGCCATGCAAGCAGATGACACAGACCTCACAATGGAAGAGACTGGAGGGGTGACCAGCAGTAAGGGAGAAATTATTCCTTTCCTCCCTCGCTGAAACATTTAAGTGGCAAGCTGATGCCATACCTGACGTGTGTTCTGTCCCGGACTCTTCAATCTGTGATGTACAAACTGGAAAATACCTTGGACGTGTTTTCCCTGCACAACACCTGCTGTGCCACCCAATCACTAGGGCTCAGCCCCAAATGCTAATCTCAGCTATTTCGAGTAGTTAATGGCAATCTGAGTCTTCGCTCTTCCATTCTCATTGTGCAAATAATGACCTCAGCTCTCAGCTGTGTATCTTTGGCTTCCCAGTCACCAATCTCCACACCTCCAGTCTAACCAGCTTGCTCCCACTACCAGTGTCCCTCCTAAAACCAAGGTCTGGTCACATTACTCTTTCTCACAAACTGTAACTTCCTACTGCCTTTAAAATGAAGACAATTCCTCCAAATGTTTCAATTCTGAGCCCCAGCTTTTCAGACTTCTCTCATTATATTCTCTCCACACCCACTCTCATGTCAGGCCATTCCACATTCCTTGCCCATGCACACACTTTTAAGCCTCCTTGCTTTTCCCTTACCCGGGAATACCATTCCTTATACCAAGGCTCAAAAAATGCCTCTTCTGCAAAACCCTCACTTCCTGACCAATCCCTCCATGTCCCTTCAGCATGGTTCTTGCCCCTCTACACAACAGTATTTCAATCAGGTTGACCAGACCGTCGTCCCATTTGTTATCTTTCCTTATCCCCAGCTTCAACATAGGATCGTAGACATATATGCATTCGCGAACTGATTATATGTTAGAAGTCTAAAATTAGAAAAGCATATTTGACGTGTTTCAGTTAAAATGAAGTCCAAAGACATATCAGTGTGTAAGCTGTAAAAGCTAAAAAAATTTTAAACCACAAAACTAGTACAAATCAATGTTCATTTACATGAAGTCAATCAACCTTCTAAGGTACAATACTAAAATAGACATAGTATCTAGACTAATAAGGGCGAACTACCCCCTTTCATTTGGTGTCACCAGGGTATTACAACTGGGCGGAAATTATATGGACTCAAAACTCTGATGTCTGCTTTTGCCACCCAGTCTCTCACTGGAGATCTAACGACCATGACAAAGCAGAGCGCATGCACCAGGCCAGCGACCCCGTAGGCCGACGGAGCTGCAGTGATCAGGTAAAGACCGACCCCGTCTTGTCCTTTCCTCAGAGCAGGGAAGTCTGAGTGCAGGTGAATGGGGAAAGCATGGAGAAGATGGTTTTCTGGAGTAAGAGTTGAGCAAAAGAGGGAGTGACCTCATACAGAGGCTGGACGTATACAGTGGGCGACCCTGATACCCACGTAGCAGCCTGCCCAGTTCGGCAAAGAGAAGAGAAGCATGGCAAAGTTGAAAACACACTTAAAACCGAAATCCCCAGTTTGTTTTGAAATAGATCCTTTTAAAATTAAACTTGTTTTGCCAAGTGGCCGCGATGGCTGCTCTCTTACATGGCTACTGAGAACTAGGTTAAGGGCACTGAAGAAAATTCCTTTTAGATACAGTTCTCCAGAGATTTTAAATAAAAGAAAAGCAAGACTAGATAAACCAGAAAAGCAGAGTGGTACTTTAGGCTCTTCACAATCTGTATAAATCCAAATCTAAGAAAGCTGCCCTAGTCCTACTACCCCTTTAATACCAATCCACAGGAAATCTTAAAATTGCCCATAAAAACTTTTTTAGCACAAATTTACATTTCATTTTCAATGAAAAAACTCTTAATTTCATATTTTTCATACCACTTTTTTCTTTTTTATTTAAAATATTATAACCAATTAACATACTAGGTAACAATGTTTACATTCCAGTGGTGCATGTTTAATGACTAGGGCATGAATGATTAAAAACCACAATAATTATCTCAGCATTCCCTACAAAGTGCCCCATTTTGTTTTGTCTAGAGGAGAGGAGAGGGAATGGAACACAGGGAAGGAACAGGTATGAAGAAGGAATGGCATCATATAGGGAGAAAAGCAAATGTCAATTATCATATGTAGGTTTTCAGGTTTTAAACCTGTTGAACAGGATAAACTGTAATGAGAAAATAGATGTCACAGTCCAAGTAGACAGCTAGTTCAGTTTAACTTCATCATTCAGCTAAAAGATTAAGAGCTTCTCAAAAATATACCAAATATCGGGCCTACAAAAGTAATTTATTTCTTCGTAAAATTTACTAAGATTTATTCCTTTTGTAAAATGTAAAGAATGGACTGATATCACGAGCAGGTTTCTACTTATAAAAACAGACAGTAATAATGTCCAACAAACACATCTAACACAATTTTCCAAGATACACAGTGAAAGATTTTACGCATGAGTCTCTCTTACTGATGCAAGGTATATATTTTACATACTTACTGGTATTGTGTCAACATTGGCTATAAAGTATTTAACACACATTTATAATTCACACTCAGTAAAGAGCTTACAGTAAGGGCAATAGCTTACTTGGGAAAGCATAGAAAATTAGTGTGAGGTAGTTCAATAAAAACCTAGTTTAATTTGTAAATTATTGTGAGAATAGAACATTGTGCAAAACTAATCCACAGATAAGATTTCTCAAAAGTCTCAGTAACGAAGAGAATCTAAACTAGAAATGGCCAGAAATTGTTACTCTTACTAGACTCTCCTTAAGAGCACTTAACTAAGAGCAGTTAGTTTGAAATTAATTCGGATTTTTGTTTTCCTTGCGAGTTTTCTAATCGTACCCCAAACTATACATTTCTGCTTCAATGCCCTTTACCTCTTCATCTTTCTTGCTATTAAGGAAAAAGTAGTTTCCTCTGATTCAGGAAAAACCTAAGAGAGATCATAGAAACACAATGTACGCTAACACGTAAAGGATATGGAGGCAACATTTAAGAGGGCTGCTAATGACAGAACAGTGGTGTTTGGTTTTTCTACTGGTAAGAGAAGTTTCCTGGGGTCATGGGGCTTCATGCATTCACTCTACAGCTAATGTGTGACTAATGAACAACACTCACAAACAAACTACAACAGTATTTTTGAAAATAGACTATGTCTTTACCTCAAAGTGTGGTGCAGGCTTGTGCCTAGGCAACACTGAGTAGTTAAGTCTTCATATGTGTAGCACATACTGGCCGACAGTGTAAACCAAGTCTTATCTGTAACCCTGAAACAGCTTCACGTGCCCTCTTCTGATTTCACTATCAGACACTTACGTCCTCTTCACCTTCATCTTTTTAGACAAAACAGCAGGGTTAACAAGGAACAGAATAGTGAAAAGTACAGGCAAGTCTGCTGCTTTGCATACCACCAAGCTTCTCTGTACCGTGAAGGGGGTTGTGTGGTGGCCTCCTCATTTAAAGGCTGGCATTTCTCTTAGTACGTGTGGGGTGAAGCACTGTGCCTTTACCGACCTGGAAGGGTGCATACCAGGAACACCAGCAGCTGAGGGTGTGTGACAAAATGAGAACTGTTCGGCAAGCAGCGTCAAAGAGTTGAGATGCTCTATTCACGTCTATTGTAACGAAGCAATCCCAACAACACAATCATTTTACAAATGGTCAGTATACATCAGAGAGTAACAGAGTAGTAAATCAGGAAGAACTATGAGAAAAGAATTAGTGTCTCTTTCCTGTAAAGGTGAATAATAAAATAATATAAATGTGAACAATAAATCTTAGTCAAAATAATTTTTTGACGGTAAGATGATGGATATATTAAATATATATGAAGTCGAAAAACCAAAGCCCTAAGAGAAGCAAGGTGGCTTTATGGAAGTACTGCTGGACAGAAATCTTACTTGTAATTTCTCTTAAAACACACACAAATGTTTAAGATGTCTTAAACGTTCAAAAAAGCTGTAAAACAAAAACAATCAGTACTTCTTTAACTTCACAGATTTAAGGGATGAGGGAAAGCTGTATTTAGATATTGCATTTTAAAAACATAGGGCACACAACATTTAACAAGCAAACTTTGTTTTCAGGATATAGTTTGCCAAGTATTTTAGTCTACATTAATGAATAAGAATTCCTTTTCTCTGAATCAACTGAAACATGCTGGCTGGCAAGGGGGAGCTGGCATTTACAACAGATGATACAGGAAGAACACCTGGTTTTCCTTGCTTAATCAAAATCTGTATCAACAGAGATGGCTTATTAGCAATCAAACATAAAATATGGGGAACTTCTGAAAGCATGTCAGTTGTTAAAGTGCAATAGTGAAATAATCTATCCTAGGGAAAATAAAGCTAATTAACTGCCAAACTAATATAAACTAAGAACACACTCATGCTCAAATTTCTGCTAACATCGTAAATCCAATCCTGTTTCTGCCACTCTAGAGGTGTTACAGTCTCAAAACTCTAATTTGCTTAACAAAATTAATGCACCATGTTGTAGGAGTAGAAAAGGGACTGATAAAAAGGCTGACAACCTCCAGAGGCTAGATATCATGACATAAAACCATCAAAAACAAACTTGCTATTTCAAAGCATATTAAAAAGGCTAACGTATTTTAATCCTGAATATTGCACATTAACAATAACCTAAAATAAGTAACTCAAAAGGAATCTGGCACTAAATACACGAATCACAGGCCAAGCAAACTTTCAGACACTGCATGTTGAGATGCACCAGTTCTTGCTCTTACTGGTCAGTAATTCCCATGGGCTTCCTGCCTAGAACCTTGTCACTGATTTACGTATGCATTTCCCAGTTCATGATATAAAATCCGTCTTGTTCCAAAAATAACAAAAGGTGCCTGGGGCCGTACAGACGATGTATTTCAGAGAAAATGAGACTTCAATGACATTTACTTACGAAAAATTCAGTTGTGGAGAAATAATTCCGCAGATAGAAAATGTAAACAGTTAACATACACTTGTCAGGAGCAGCACCATTCTTACCCTACTCAACATCCACATTGCATGTTTTATTGAAAATCAGGTATAAAAAAAACAAAGACTCAGACTGAATAACCACCACTTATGCCTGCTCTGCTCAATGTGAAGAAACAGTCCTTAGAAAATGATATCCTATATATGGCTGTGTGCTACTATTTTCAGATGAACGGTATATTGCTCATTTGATACATCACCTACAGAAATTGAAGTAGGCTTCGGAACCTCCTGACAGCTAGTATAAATAGGATTATGCTACAGGTAGAATCAAATGGCCAGAAACGCCTTGAGAACTGGTGCTCAACTGACTGATATCATGCTAGGAAACCAGAAAGGTCCCAGGTCCAAGGGCCTGAGGCTGCAGGAAAGGGAAAGACCAGACTCTAGACCACAGCTGGGACCTACAGCCTGAGTAGATTAACTCAGTGTATACAAAAACAGGCTCATAGCTAGTAGAAGTGAACCATCTGTTTATTTGCATTGAAATGTATTATTCATGAAGTATCCTCTTGACTTTATGTGATCATAATCTTTGAGCATGCCACAAATTTGCAGAAAATACCATATTCTTTTTACTTGGCTTCTGTTGTGTGGGGTAGGGTGGGGGTGGGGGGGGAAAAGGAGGGTGGTGGTAGACGCCCAGCATCTTCAAAGACATGCTCTGAGTTATTCTGTCATTTAGATGATGGGGCTTTTGCCAAAAAACAATGTAGGATGTAGGATTACCTACCAATTGTTGAAATTAAATTAAGATTGGCAAGTAGCAAATATTGGAGGTTTTTTTAACACGTTCATCATTTACAGTAGTTATTCCTGAATACAACCGGCTACAGGTTATTTTCCCTCACTCCTCTGGGGTTATTTCATTGATAAGCACATAACCCTGAAGGATAGCATCATGAACAAAACATTTGAAATAAAATTCTAATAAAAAAAACCTATAAAAATCTTAAATAATTCATGATATAGGCAAGTCACCACATAATAGTTGCTTTGATAAACAAAATCTTACAAATTCAGTAAAAAAAAAAAATCAGCAGCATAAGATAAAGCAAATATGCAAAAATTTTAAACCATGATAAAATAATTAGGTTTACATTATACAGTTAATTACAGCAAAAATACAATAGTTTTGTTGCTGTTTTAAAACACAACTTAAGTTTTAAATTACATCACTTGAAATTAAAAAAAATAAACTACTTTACTACAAAATGAATTCTACATTTTTGAAAAATCACTCAAAAATAAGACCACTGAATTGTTTTCAAAGTAGTTCTATCAATGACTAAACGACTCCCCATCCCCCCACCCCCCTGCCAAGGCCCAAGTAGTCATCTACAACAGCCCAGAGGTCCAGCTGATGCTTCCAGACTGCTATCTGTATCTGAGGCCAAAGTCGGATCTGTTGACATTGAAGACACATCATTGACAGACGATGATGACGATGGATGCTGAGAGCCATTGATCACTGCTGCACCTGTGCTATGAGAAACAAAACAGCAAATCAGTTGCAGACAGAGTTGCACACTGAGCTACCTGTACTGTACTGGCTACCTCTAGTAATCAATCATTTTTTTTCTCTTGGCTTTAAAAGGTTTAAAAGTTGTGTGTGTGATAATACATGCAATACTGTCGGTACTGCATTTTTTTGGACAGAGGATCCAAAGGGATATGTAACTCAAAAAGTTAAAAACCACTGCCCTAATAAAAATGGCTTATGTTATCTTCTCACTGTAAACTCCAAGCAGTATTCTGGCACATCTTGTTTTAAAGAAAACGCCAAGACAAAGACTAAAATCATTCTAAATGGAAGGGTCCTTAGTTCAACTGTCCCAGTTTAGGTTATAGGACTTGCCAGGGTCACTCAAGAACCCTATTTGGGTAAACTCAAGTTCTTGTTATTTTTACTCTAATAAATACTTCATAAACGCTAGCATGGATTTATTCAACAGATAAAGTAGGGGAAGACTGTTTCCTTTACTGAAAGTATAGGTAACAAGCATTTCTTGGATTTTAAAAAGGAACAGGAATACATAACCAATAGTGAAATCCTTTCAAGGGGGCTGGGTTAGGAAAGGGGAAGGAATGTCACTTGCGGGGTGGGAAATATGTTAACGGTGATTCACATTCTTAGGTAAGTACTTCTGAACTATGGGATTACTAAATAAGGGCCATTCCAAACTTGAGCCTATTAAATAATGCAAGTTATACAAAAGTTCTTAAGAACTCATTTATGGAATAAAAGCAGTGGTTTCCAAATTGAGCAGTAAGAATATCTAGGGCTGAGTTTTCAGGCACTCAAAGGATGCTAAAACAAAGCAGGTTGAAAACCACTACTCCAGAACCCAGCATCTCAGTGCTTGAAATCATCCTACCATTCTAATGATGAACCATAAAACACTTTAGAATACAAAAGGTCCTCTGAGAGCTTGTCTTCAAATCTAACAAGGAAATAGCCAGGGGAGTGGGGATAGGCAAATCTTTAGGGTGTTGGGCTGGACTGGTCCATTAGGTTTCTAGCCAGAGTGAACCGAAGACATTATATTTTAAATTCAATCCACAGGACACTACAGAATGCACCTGTTCTGACTGAAGAGTACACAATACCACAGCTAGCTTCAAAGACTTGTACCAAAATATTCAAATCATAAAAGGGTTCCACCAAATATACATTTTATGCCTCTATTTTGTAACCCAAACTTCATTTTATCCAAACTGCTTAATTTGATAAAAATTAACTTTTATTTTCTAATTAAAAAAAATTTTTTTAAGTAATCTCTACACCCAACGTGGAGCTTAAATTTACAACCCTGAGATCAAGAATTGTTATGTTCTACCAACTGAGCCAGCCAGGTGCCCCCCAAATTAACTTTTAAATGCATTAAATAGTTAACTTTAAGTGTTTGGTTTTTTTTTTAATTTTTTAATGTTTGTTTTATTTTTGAGAGACAGAGAGCACAAGCAGGGGAGGGGCAGAGAGACAGGGAGACACAGAATCTGAAGCAGACTCCAGGTTCTGAGCTGTTAGCACAGAGCCCGACGCAGGGCTCGAACTCACAAACCGGGAGATCATGACCTGAGCCAAAGTCCGGCACCTACAACTGAACCACACCCAGGCAACCCTAAATAGTTAACTTCTAAATCTGAAAATCAAATACCTAAGAAAAGTACTTGTTTTTTTTCCCTGAACTTTAAAGCAATCTAGTAAATTCTCAAATATCTGAATTGGCAATAATAGGGAAAATCCTTCATTTTAGGTAGCTGAGTCATTTCCCCCTAAGGTGAGTCTCTACACATACCTCAAAGGCATGCAAACTTAGCCAAACCAAAATAAAGATAGGAAAAGTGGGAAAAATAATATATTTAATTTCCAAAATTCAAGGTGAAATGATATTGTGATTATCTGATAGTTTAATCTGTCAAAGACTTTCTTCTCTTTTTCCATATAATCAAGAACTGAATATTTTTATAATGGGTTGAGTTATTAACACTCTTTTCCCTAAGCTATACCTGAGAATCCAGAAAATGTCTAGAAACCTGCAGTCCTGTCCTTACCACTGACTTATTTTATAACCATAGTCAAGTGCTGTTTAAGATCCAGTTTCTTTAAATAAGTTAAAAAGAGATAAAACTGCTCTATCTCATGAAATTAAGTTTACTCAAGTATCTGACACTTCCGATGTGCCACTCACTAGGAGAGCATTCTGAAATATAAGTCTCCCACATAATGGATTTTTCAAATCCCACTCAAAGCTCCATCATGAACTAAATTTAGTTATAACTACTACTGTACATCAATACAAAGCTAATTAACTCAGCTATTAAAGCATTTATAATATAGCTTTTGCTACAACTAAATTGTAGGTAAAAGCTGTCAAAATCATTTTATGTATTTAAAAAAAAATTTTTTTTATATTTATTTATTTTTGAGAGACAGAGAGAGACAGCGTGAGCAGGGGAGGGGCAGAGAGGGAGAGACACAGAATCAGAAGCAGGCTCCAGGCTCCGAGCTGTCAGCACAGAGCCCGATGTGGGGCTTGAATCCACGAACCGTGAGATCAGGACCTGAGCTGAAGTCAGAAGCTCAACCGACTGAGCCACCCAGGTGCCCCCATTTTCTATTTTCAACAGGATCTATATTATAATTTGTAAGACTGTATTCCTGATCAAGGATTTAAAAAATAAAAAATTTCAAAAACTCACAAATATAACCAAAAGTGCCTCAGAAAGCCACAGAAACTAAACAAATATGTTTACAGTATAACAAAATGGGCATTTGAAACTATAGTTAAAAATCTTACTCATATAATATTTTTATTTTTATTTTTTTTAGAACGTAGAAGAGTTTTAAAGGGATGGTTAAAATGGCATAGTCTTACTCAAATTCAAGACCTATCTCTTAAAACACTACTCAGCCTTCAAGGTTCAGTTCAAATTTCATCTCTTTCATAAAGCTGTTCTAACTTCTGTAGCCAAAAGTCTCTGCTGCCAGCTAAAGGCCACATGGGATGCTAGAAAAACCATGCCATTTGAAGTTACTGATGAACATGGCTGTAAGTATTAGCTTTTCTACATAATACATTTGTAATTTTATGTTCATTTAATTCTTCTGAACTTTAGTTTCCTCATCTGTAAAATGTGCATAATATTCCCTTCAGTGAGGTCTCAGGGGCTGAATGAAATAAAGTACATAAACCACCAGTGCCTGTCATGTAGTTTGTACTGAATATATACATGTTACCTGTCATTTAACTTTTTCTCTCAATGCTTTATGCTTTTATAAGTGCTAACATTAAATACAGCTTGTGATAGAAGAAAATGTTTAACTCCTGCGAACCAGTTTTCTTTTTAGATGGAACACTTCCTAATGGCAGTTTTAATGTTACTGCCTTGGTTCAACAAATCAATACCAAAATGAGAAAGATGGTAACTTAATGAGAAAGACGTACTAAATCTTTCAATGAAGGCTTAGTTTATTTATCCAAAGTAAAGACTATTAAAATCCTGGTAAGTATATTGAATTATGAAAAATTTCTTCTTTAAAGAGAACAATGCCAATACAAAATGGTTTTAAATTTCCATTTTTCAACAGAATGTCAGTATTATAGAAAAAGATGTGTATTTTATGGAGTCAGTTACCGATATATTAGCATGATATATTGGGACAACAGTGTACCTACCAGTGGTTTCAAATTAAAGCACCCAAACTACACTCCCTATACTTAAACTTTGAATAGTAACAGTGATAAATACGGGAAACAATACATGATCCATGCAACTGAAGATTACAACACAAGAAGTAACCCTAACCTTATAACCTTATAACCTTAACCAAGCTTATATAGTAACCAACCTAAAGGAGAGGGCTGCCCCCGTATAACTCCATTCTTGGTTCTCTCCTCCAAGTCCATAACTTCTTTGTATATCAACTCTGAAAAAGAGGTGAACAAAAACAAACTTTTCAAAGTCTGAGAGCCAACCTCACAGATATCTGTTTTAAGTTGAACATTTTTACACACATTAAAGACTTCTAATAGTGTCCTTTCAATGGTAAAGTGTCCCTAAGTGTCAGTCTAAGATTCAAAGGTGTTTGTAACAATACCCTGATCCTGAACAATGAACTATACTGAAAGAACAAAATCTCTGGTATAACTAATGTTCCTAAAGTTGGATTAAGGATAGAGCTGGGGTTAGAAGCCTTATCTTTTTTACTCCACCAGAACTCTGTACTATACCATATCATTCTACACATGCTCAGTTCTGTCTCAGTGAGAGCTTAAATCACATTTGTTTCATTCATGTCTTATTTCCTGGTTGTGACACAGTAACCTAGTACATTGTAGGTGCTTATCCAGATATCTGTTTTTGGTTTTTTTTCTAAATTTTCTTTCAACTTTTTAAATTTATTTTTGGGACAGAAAGAGACAGAGCATGAACGGGGGAGGGGCAGAGAGAGAAGGAGACACAGAATCGGAAACAGGCTCCAGGCTCCGAGCCATCAGCCCAGAGCCTGATGCGGGGCTCGAACTCACGGACTGCGAGATCGTGACCTAGCTGAAGTCGGACGCTTAACCGACTGCGCCACCCAGGCGCCCCCAGATATCTGTTAAAAGACTTAAGTACAGAAGTGTATGGAAGCCTCTTTAATTGGGATGGAATATACATTTTTTTAATATGAAATTGTCAAATTGATTTCCATACAACACCCAGTGCTCATCCCAAAAGGTGCCCTCCTCAATACTCATCACCCACCCTCCCCTCCCTCCCACCCCCCATCTACCCTCAGTTTGTTCTCAGTTTTTAAGAGTCTCTTATGCTTTGGCTCTCTCCCCCTCTCTAACCTCTTTTTTTTTTTCCTTCCCCTCCCCCACGGACTTCTGTTAAAAAAAAAAAAAGCAGGTAGCTACACTTCAACTCCTTATGATTTGAAGCATAACATGCTATCACAGTCAAGATTTTTCCATGGGAACCTCATTTTTTAACTGGACTTCTGGACAGTGGATGGACTGTGTGAGCACTGTTCCAATTGAAGAGAGATGCCAAATGCTGCCTTGAGGTCCTATGTGCCTCCTGCCCTGCGTTCTTCTAAGTGATCTTGAGGTCAAGTGTGATGCACCATAAGGGTAAGAATATCTACTTCAGAAGAGCCTTCTAGTCAATGCTACAATCACCATTATGCATCACCATATTTGAGTCAGGAATCCTTTGAGAACTGCATAAGCACAACAAACCCTCTTCTGAGGAAAATGTACAAGTAGAGAATGTTGCCCAGAATTTCAAGGAGTCTGAATTCCTTAAACTGATAAGGAATCTCTGATTATAAGGTAAATTGAGTGGATATGTTGAAATGAACAAGAGCTAGAGACACCTAACTTTCCTTGCTATATTAATCTTTTTGGGCTTCGAAGGAGAAAAATAGGATAGAGGGAAGAATGAAAGATGCTTTTCTTTAAAGAAAAAACAAGGGGAGAAGAACCAAAGCTACTTAGGAGTACTAAGTAGGCGACGCAACATGTAAGTTAATGGCTCTGCCAACAGATTTTTCTTTCTGTTGTAATGCTAAACCTCTTAAGCAGATCTTTAAAAAGGCAGTTTGCGGGACACCCAGGTGGCTCAGTCGGTTAAGCATTCAACTTGGCTTTGGTTCATGTCATGATCTCGTATGGGATCATGGGATCTCCCAATTGGGACATCGGACCCATGCTGGGCTCTGCACTGGGCATGGAGCCTGCTTGGGACTCTCTCTCTCTGACTCTCCCTCTCTCTTTCTCTGCCCCTCCCCTGTCCAAACACTCACCCTCTTTAAAAAAAAGAAAAAAGAAGAAAGAAAAAAAGGCATTTTGTGGGTAATTACTGAGCTACACTTAGACTAGGAGAAAAAGATACAGAATAAATTCCAGATACATCTTTACACACAAACAAAAATACAGTTGACTCTTGAACAACATGGGTTTGAAATGCATGGGTCCAGTTATACGTGGACTTTTTTCAACAAATATATGCACAGTATTGTAAATTTTCTCTTATGATTTTAATAACATTTTTTTCTCTAACATACTTTATTGTAAGAATACAGTATATAATACATATAACATTAAAATCTGTGCTAACCAACCATGTTAGTGGTAAAGCTTCCAGAAAACAGCAGGTTATTAGCAGCTGTTTTAGGGGAGTCAAAAATTTTATGTGAATTTTCAAGTGCGTGTGAGTCAGCCCCCTAACCCCTGCATTGCTGGAAGGGTCAACTGTACTGTGTTACACTGATTTTAAGATGCACTTTTATCAGTTTATTATCTTGGAAATGGGGCTGCATCTTACAATCAATGGTGCTGTGCCCCTGGCAGTGTTTTCTTAGTAGTATACAGTGGTGCGTTTTACAACTGGTGGCCTATTAAGGTTATAAGAAATACATAAATGCCTATTCTAAATGTAATGGCATATAAAAATATCAGGCAAGATATTTTAGTACACACTTTGATCCACAATTACATCCTTGTACATTACTTATTACATATACAGATATACTAGGTTCTACTCAATTCTATCACTCTGGTGGGCTCTAGAGGGTCTGTGTGTTTCCCTAAAGTCAACTCAGAGAAGACCAATCTCTGGTTATTCCTAAAAAGAAAGAATCAGATTCATTCTTCCCGAACAGGTTTATAGACAGATCACTTGTTTAAGTTTGTATCTCCTCACTACCTTTAGCCCTGCAACCATTTTGGTACTTAGCTCTTAATAAGATGTCCTCTGTCTCCATTTTAAGATAGGTAAAGAAGGGACCAAGTGACCTGCCCAAAGTCATGCGGCTATAAAAGTCATCAAATTACTAAATGACAACAATGCAAATGGAAGTGAACAGGATCTAAAAATTATCTGGCTCCAGTGTTCCAGGGAATCTTTTAATGAAAGAAACACTTTAACATTTCTGTGACAATCAATGTATTATTAATGTTTACCCACATACACAAAGTAAAACTACCATATTAGAGTTGCAAAGATTAAAAATTAACTCGGTTGGGGAGGGTGGGGGTAAAACAGACATTCTACACAATGCTGATGGAAGTATAAACTGCTATAAGTTCTATGGAAAGTAATTTGGGAATATCCTTTGGCCTGACAAATCTCCTTATAGGATTTTTCTTACAGGCCTGTTCTCACATGTGCACAACAACACTGCAGAGCTGTCTGTAACAACAACAGCCTGGACACAAAGCTCTTCCAGAGGGAGTTAAATACAGAAATTGTGACACAGTCGTACAGCAGAATGCTAACAGCTTTTAAGCCAAATGAGCCAGATATGTGGAAAGAGACAGAAGAATCTTGAAGATAAATGATTATATCAACAAAGCAAATGTGAACAGTATACGACCATTTGTGATTAAAACAGGGTGGGAGAGAAAGAGAGGGAGATGGCAAACACAAGTCTGTGTATCTGTACACTATGGAAGAACATACAAATTTCAGAAAGCACTGATGTGTCTCTCTGGGGTAGGAAACACGAGAGATTCAGATTAAGTCAGGGATGGAGGAGACTTAATTTGTACCTCTGTAAAAACATTAATAATCCTCTTACCAAATATCAGTTATGAATAACAAGTATCTTTAATTTTCCTAACATGATTAAATCAACATAAAGATTCAGATGCTCTTTCAGCTTCATCTCTAAGAACTTGGCGAATGTTACCTTTCCACTCTTCTATTGTATGTTCCCTTTCATCTAATTGCTTGTCAGGTATCTTGGGTGGTGGCTGAAAAACACAAGGGCAATAATAATTGAGTTGCTTTATTGGGAGTACATAAGTTCTTTATATAATTATTTGAAGTATTAGAGGCTTTCAAAAATACATCATCAGACCAACCTTCTTATGTAGAGAAACTAATTTTGGACAACAAAATGACAAAAAAAAAAAAAAAAAAAAGATGTTGAACTGTCTTTTTCTCTTCTTCCAGTTTTTGAAATTGTCACATTTTATTTATATTACAGAATTGTGCTATGCTTTGGACACAATAATTTGTTTTGCAATTAGTTACAACGTTTTCCCAAAGTGTTCAACATTCTAGCTCATTATGTAAAAGGCAAGGCAAAAAGGTAAGAAACAGTGGGATGTAGCTTTATTTTGTGTCAGGAGTGCTTGGAGATGCTCATTAACTTAAGATACCATTCATGCAAAAACAGAAAAATACCATCATCATTTATCTGTACTTTTATTTAAATTTAAAAAGTCTCCTCCAAACCTAACTCTAATTCAATATATTCTTCAAACATTAAGAAAAGAACTTACAGCTTCTGCTTCAGAAGGATCATACCAGACATTGATATATGGATGCTGGAGGGCTTCATCTACAGAGATCCTTTTAGATGCATCAATTACCAGCATTTTGGATAACAAGTCCCTTGCCTGACTGGCTGTAAAAATAATGATGTTAATGTACATGTACCTCATAAAAGTTTTTAAATTACCATAAACTTCAGAAACTTGACATTATCATTTATCAAAAAGTATATGTTCTTTTTAAAAGAACAGATTTTACTATAAAATCTGGTCATACATATGATCAAAAAAAAATTTTACAAAAAAAAAGTAACTAAAGTCTTTCACTTTGTTCCATTACCCAGAGAGGACGCTGGGTTATATCCCGTAAGAACATAAACACACAAACATACAAACACACACACACACACACACACACACACACACACACACACTCAAAATGGGATTAAATATATGTATTTATAAAAAGTACCTTTAAGTTTGTTGTGTTCCGAGTCAGCTGGGAAAAGTACATCGGGGAAGAGTTTCTCAAAGCTATATCCAGCATATTTAGGTCTGTTTTCAACGTAAGTCCTTACTGTTGGTTGTAGTTTCTTCATGAATTCAGGGCATGGTGTTCCAAGCTGTTCAATAACTTTATTCCACTGATCAATATCTAATATCAAGTAGCTAAGAAAAATACTCTGTATCTAATGTTCAACACATTAGTCATATCTATATTAAAATGACAAGAAAATGGCATTTAAAAAACCCTAAGAAAGAATGTGGCAGTTATATATCTTCTGTCTTATAGCCAGCTTGTAAAAGGCAATGACTGTAGACAGACAGAAAGGATCAATAAACAAGCTTTGTTAACCTTACTTTGTCTGTGTGTGAGTGTGAGAGTGTGTGTGTGTGTGTGTGTGTGTGTGTGTGTGTGTGTCTAATACTGATTTTACCTTAACAATGGAAGCTTAAACCTACAAATTCTATATACAAATGACAGGTGACTGAAGAAATAATGACAATTACTACTCACAGGGAATCTGAATTTAAACTGTGCACAATTCTAGAATACAAAATCTGTCTTTTCTTGCAGCTTATCAGAAAATGTGAAGGATAAGAAATATTTCTTATAATCTGTCCTACTTTTTTTAGTTTTCTACACTGACAGAAAATAACCTGTAGCAATAAAAATGATGGGTCTAACAAAAGTGGCATTTTCTTTTGCCACTCTTTGTTTACCTTACATTAATGAAAATGTTTTTAAAGCTCTGAAACTTAAGAAAATGAGTCTGTTTTGGTAAGTTGTGAGGTTAGGATTCCTTGGTCTTTTTCCTCCTAGTCTTTATACTCCAAGTCTTCTCTACACACTAACTCAACTTTTCTTACTGTAACCCAGTGAGTATGGCTTTTTCCATCCCCGGTCCTACAACAACTCTAAGTGTCACTAGCTAATAAACACATAACAGATCACTGTTAATATGAATACTAAAAGTGGTCAGATGAACAAAAAGAATGAACCCAAATCTACTCATCACCATATAAAACTATCACTGCTAAAATTATCTGATGAAAATATCAGTATGTTATGTTGAATAATGAGACAGCAACCAAAAAACATGAAACACACAGAACATTAACAAAAGAGGAGGTGTTGGGGGTAAAAAACAAAAGGATGAACAGAAGCAACAGACAATTCTAAAATTCATATTAAGTCCTAAGGTACTTCTAAGACTTACTCAAGTGTACAATTATTAGAAATTTTAATGCAAGCCATGATTTTTGATTTAGGTTAAATAAATCAACTCAAAGCCAGCAAGTAATTGTGGATAATTAACTTGAGCAGTTGTCAGAATTAACATACAAAACAATAAATGAGGGAAAGGAAAGTCTATGTCAAATAGCAGGTGGTATTTTGAAAGAGTAATTTAACAATACTTTATTATTAGGGAGAGACAAATACATTATACCTGACCAAGCTGAAGTGCTATCATACATTTTGACCTTTAGAAACTACATTTTAGGCCAAAGGTAAGGATACGATCTGTACCTGGGAACAAAACACCACCTTTGATCATTTCTCCCATGATGCACCCAACTGACCAAATGTCAACTGAAAACAAAATGCAATGACATTAACATAAAGATTTTGGTTAAAATAAAAAAAAAATATTTAAACATTAAAAAAAATCACATACACCATGTATACTTTAAAATTATAGAAAGCAGTATAAAATAAAAATGAGTGACAGTGAATGTGCTCTAACTACCAGCAGAGACTGTATGTCCTACTGCCAGATGCAGCCTACAAATATTTCAGCTTCTTTTCTCAACAATTTTTGAACTATAACAGCCACAAACTTTACATCTGTTTACGAAACCCATATATATATGTATATATATATGAATGTACCATGTTTATTTTCATTAGAGAACACAAGGAAGTTCATCACCTAACTAATTAAACTGCTGCAGCAGCACAAGGATACAGTCCCTTCCTGGAAAGAGGATTTTGTGGCAAACCATTTCTCCCATAATGCACCCCACAGACCATAAATCCACTATATGTTTGCAGCACAAAAGAAGGAAAAGCAAAGCAAAAGGTCATTAAAATCAAAGAAGCATAATATGACTGCATTATATAAAAACTGCAAAACATCACAAAAAGAAAAAAGTGATTTTAATTTTAGCTAATGGAATAATTTAAAACACAAAATATTTTTCAAAAGGCTTTGATTCACAAAAGCAAACGTGAAGTATTGCCTTTTAACTACACATCTAATTTTAAAGTGAGAGCTATGCACAGAAATCACATAATTAAGAAACTTATACATTTTGTCTCTAAAAATTTGTTTATAAAATAGGCAGAACAAACACAGACTTTACAAATAAGGCTGAAAATGAACACGAGGCAGCAAAATTTAAATAAAATTTTGATTGTATTTTGAGGCTCAACTGTGCATTATACTCTCTCTTTAAGTCAAATAAAAGAAAAAAGCATGAGCAGAAATAATCTAGTATATTAAAATATTTACACAGAAAGAATGTTTCTATGAACAATTACAGTTAAAAAGTTAATCGAAAGCTCTTCAGAAATTTTCAAACTGGATAAATGTATTAAAGAAATCCTATGCTTATTCTGAATCAGAAGTAATTTGTCTTCTTGGCAATGCCATGTTACATTTACCCTACTATCCCAAAAGGAACAAGTGTTTAGAGAATGAGCAAATAATCAATTAAGAAAACTTAAAGTTTTTTCTCCACCTGCGCCACCCAGGCGCCCCTAAAGTTTTTTAAACCCATATAGCCAAACTGCTTTGGTTTAAGTTAGTTTTAGCTGGGTACAGTATGAAAGTTCCTACAGATTTATTATCTACAGAGTCCCCTCAATGACTCACGGACTCTTATCAACTGTAATCAATGCTGAAAAGAATCTGCCAGACACAGAAAGGGCAATCTCCACCTGTTTCACTAATATACCCTGACATTTTATATCTTTGGTCTGAAAATTTGGTAAAAACAGGAGAGTACATGGCTAAATTTGTTGTGGTAATCACTTCATAATGTATATAAACACTGAATCACTGTGTTGTACACTTGAAATTAATATAATATTGTATGTTAACTCTACTTCAATTAAAATAAAAAGGAGAATAGGTGGCTGCAGCTTAATAGAAGAGGGGAAGAATGAGCAATTTAAAAAGAAAGCCTTAGAAACTTGCATTTGTTGTTGAAGTTTCCAGGCCCTTTTTGAGAGCATGAAGAAAAGGGCAAAAGTATTAGGGAGAGGCGCCCATGCTGGTAGACTTATGAAAATTAGAAGTCTGTACTTTCTAATACACTCAATAAAGAGACTGCCAGCTCATTACAGAATCTTAGGAACAAAGTTGGTAATAAATTTTGGAAATCCTGTAGAATTAAAGTTTCTCTAAAATTTTATACTAAGAGGCGCCTGGGTGGCTCTGTGGGTTAAGTGTCCGACTTTGGCTCAGGTCATGATCTCGTGGTTCGTGGGTTCGAGCCCCGCGTCAGGCTCTGTGCTGACAGCTCAGAGCCTGGAGCCTGCTTCAGATTCTGTGTCTCCCTCTCTCTCTCTGCCCCTCCCCTGGTCATGCTCTGTCTCTCTCTCAAAATTAAACAAACACTAAAAAAATAAAGAAATAAAATAAAAATAAAATTTCTTATTAAAATATATATGAGTTTTGGGGTGCCTGGGTGGCTCAGTCAATTGAGCGTCTGACTCTTGATTTGGGCTCAGGTCATGATCTTGCAGTTCACGGGATCCTGGGATCTAGGGATTAAGCCCTGCCTTGGGCTCCAAGCTGACACTCTCCCTCTCTCTCTGTCCCACACCTGTGCGCATGGGCACACACGCTCTCTCTCAAAAATAAAAATAGAAATAGAAATAAATACATATGAATCCTTATGATTCAAAACTTTCAAGAACAGAATTTTAAAGGAAAAAGTAATACTCATAAATCAGTTCAAAGAACAATTTTTTTCCAGGGTTTTCATTTTATGGAAAAAATCTACAACAATAACTTTTTCCTATAGATTTTTAGAGAATGGCAAACTTTAGTTAAAGATCCAGGACATAATTTATATAGATAACCTTAAGAAAAACGTTATTTTTAAACAAATTTCAAAAGCTGCAAGCGTGGGAAGATACTGTCTGGGTTAGTGAAGTCTCTCAGAACATAGTAAGCCTAATTCAAACAAAAAACTAGCTTTAAAGGGTCAAACTGCTTAGTCTATTTGGCAGTTTAAATATATTCCATTATATCACAGTTTCCAAAAAGCTTTATGGTAGCTTGCAATAAAAGACAAATAAAGTTATTAAAACAAATGGCGGTGGGTGTCACTAAAAGAAGGAAGTTCTTATGTTTAACTTTGCTGCTAATGTTATCATGAGTGAGCATTACATTTAACTCCATTTCCTGAGGCAAAAAAAGGCAATCAAGTGATCTCCACAGTTCTTATCTAAGACAGGAAAGCATGCCAATTCTTCATAGGATAGTTTCTCTTGATGTTAATTTCTGGTAGGGAGCTATGTTCCAAAATCACATTTACAGGTCACTGAGTGACACAATATCCATGACAACCAATAGTTTTACAGCAAATGCAAAAACAATCTTCATGCTGATCACTTGAAGTATCAACTCTCAAACGAACAGTCTAATATTAAATCCAACTCACCAAATTCTAAGGCATACAACAATTTTAGGTAGAGTAAGAAAACAGAACAGCATGTTTACTTAGGAAAGAATAATTGTAAGTGTTTAAAGTGTTTGTTTTTAATTAATTCAGAAAAGCAAAGGAAATGAAGCTAAAACCCTCCATTCAATATAGTCTTTTATAAAAAAGAAATTTGAAGATTAATATAGTTTCTTGATTCAAAGTAAACTGCTTGCTGTTCTAGATTTCTTGATAGAAAAAACACCTAGGTCCTTTTCTAGGGAGTATTTTGGATGAAATTGCATTTTAAAAGTTATAGTTTAAGTTAATAATAATCCTGTGCAGATTTATTCATCTCCTAAATATCTGAGTGAGATTCAACAATACTTTCTTTTTTTAATTTTTTTTTTTAACATTTATTCACTCTTGAGAGACAGAGAGACAGAACATGAGGGGCAGAGAGAGAGAGAGAGAGGGAGACACAGAATCTGAAGCAGGTTCCAGGCTGAGCTGTCAGCACAGAGCCGGAAGTGGGGCTCGAACCACGAGCTGTGAGATCATGACCTGAGCCAAAGTCGGACGCTTAACCGAGTGAGCCACCCAGGCGCCCCCAACAAAACGTCTTAAATTCTATATATGTACATATATGTATAAAATTTCTAAAAATGCGTGAACTACATGCCTGATAATTTTCAATCTTGACTCTACTGTTGAAATATATAATTGAATATACCCATATACAAAAATGCTATTTCTTTAAGGCAGGATACAAGGCTTTGATGAAACACTGTTTTTCCCCAAAGACCACCTTAATTAATTATCCATCAGCTTTGCAGAATGGCCTCAATGTAGCTCTTACAGTTTACACTAAGTGCTAGAACCTTAGTTTCATGGGATTGGAAATATGTTCAAATATCACCAATGCAAAGTAGGATTATTACTAAAAACAAACTGTCAATCAATCTACCACATACTTCCTAAGTCCCTGTTAGAAATGCTCATTTTCTGGGCGCCTGGGTGACTTGGTTTAAGCGTTCGACTTCGGCTCAGGTCAGGATCTCACATTTTGTGAGTTCAAGCCCCGCATCAGGCTCTGCGCTGACAGCTTGGAGCCTGGAGCCTGCTTCGGATTCTGTGTCTCCCTCTCTCTCTGCCCCTCCCTCGCTTATGCTCTGTCTGTCTCTCTCTGTCTCTCTCTCTCAAGAATAAACATAAAAAAATTTAAAAAAAGAAATGCTCATTTTCAAGTTACAGGCAAACAAATGGCATATATTGTTTCAGGGGCAATAGCAACAAACTATCCAACTGTAGTGTTGACTGTTATGTACTTCTATTTAAATAAACAGGGGCCCCAAGTTTTTCCAAACATTTATGACAAAATTTATAGTTACTTTCAAACTCCTGATAAACACCTCAGTGGTACATTTAACTCTATGCACTTCCAGCTTAAATATTTACATAATAAATCTGATAAACAAAAGCCAGTAACAGTATTTTGAGTAAATAGTGTTTGCTGACCGTTTTCTTTGTAGCCCATCCCTAGGATGACCTCAGGTGCTCTGTAGTAGCGAGTCACTACGTAAGGCGTCATCATGAAACTAGTTCCTGCAGTCCTGGCCAGTCCAAAGTCAAGAATCTTCAAAGTGCAGTCTGATTTTACCACTATATTACTGGGCTTTAAGTCCTTCAAAATACAAAAATAAAAAATGGCTGCTGTGATATATACAAACATTTTACAGTTCACAAATTGTTAGATCAGTTGTAAAATAATTCATGGTAATTGTTATAATTTATCTCAATTACAATCCGTATCACTGCTCAGATTCCTTGTAACAGGTAATTGTGAGACATTAGCTTGGTGGCATTTTTCACTTATGAATACATACTTATTACAGAAATTAGCAATGGAAATTATGATTAGCTAGAAATTTTCAATCAAGTGCAATAAAAGCAATTTTTAAAGGTATTTTAAAGCTCACGTAAGAACTGTTACAGTAAAATAAAGAGAATAGTTAAGGTAAGCATTTATACTCATTTGTATACTAACTTACCAGATTTTTAAAAATCTCATTTTAAAGTCACAATGAGCTTTATATAGATAAGTCAACGGGCCATTCTATTGACAATCCAAGACCTTTCAAATTGGCAGATTTTCAGCGTGCTTTGGTGGCTCTGTCAGTTAAGTGTCTGACTCTTGGTTTTGGCTCAGGTCATGATCTCACAATTCATGGGTTCAAGTCCCACACTGGGCTCTGTGCCTATAGTGCGGACCCTGCTTGGGATTCTCTCTTTCCTCTCTGCCCCTACCCCTCTTTGTCAAAGTAAATAAATAAACTTTAAAAAAAAAAAAAAAAACCAAATTGGCAGACTTTCATTTGTAAAGGACTGAAATGATCTTTTTTTTAAGTCATTAATTATCAGTTTTTTTCAGCTTAAAAAAATTTTTTTTAATGTTTTTTTAAATTTGTTTTTGAGAGACAGAGAGAGGGAGAGAGAGAACAAGTCGTAGAGGGGGCAGAGCAAGAGGGAGACACAGAATCCGAAGCAGGCTGCAGGCTCTGAGCTGTTCACACAGAGCCCAAAGCAGGGCTTGAACCCAAGAACCCAGAGATCGTGATCTGAGCTGAAGTCAGACGCTCAACCAACTGAGCCACCCAGGCGTCCCATGGACTGAAACGATCATTACCAGTGTTTCCATCACTGGCTTCCCACTTTAAATCACACAAATGTGTTCATAAAATTGTTGTCTGCCCATAGAAGTAGGACACCATTGTCTTGGTGCCACTAATCCATAAAATACTAGCAGTTGATGCTACCAAATAAGGTCCTTGTGAAGAATTTTCTACCTGCCCAACCTTAAGGAATTCTATGCTATGATCATTAAAAGGAAGGCAGCAGCAGCATAAACACTCATGACTTTCAAGTCCAACACACTTTGTCTGTTAGCTCTGATGAATCTTATTATGAACCAAGAAACCAAAGAAAGCAAACTCAATGTATCTGCCCACAAACACATTCCATTATGGGTACAGACATGCAGTACGTAACGTTGAATATCAACGATTAATACAAAAGAAAAAAGCTGGCCTGTAAGACACTGTTTACACTTTGTAACACCTATATCCAGAAAATCATGTATGTTGTCTTTAGCATATTTTGATAGGCGATCATGAATGGGTTTAGAAGATATGTACTCCAAGGGCTTTGTCAAATTGAAAAAAGATATCAACAGGCTTAATGAAATATAAAATGAAAGTTTTCATTACAGCTATTTTGTACATATAATGTCGTACTATTTACAAAACACATTATCTCAGCAAATACAGCCTGTTCAAGAATTGCATATTGCAAAACTGAAACCACTTCAGTGTCTACTGTGATGGTTAATGATTAATGGCTCTTTACACTACTACACTCTAGCCTAGAAATAAGATGCCAACCTTAAATACTTTATTTTGGAAAGATTAAGAGCAAAATATAATTTTTTTACAAATATGTTTTGTCAAGAAAATGCTTCAAAGACTATTACCTGAAATTCATCCTTGTATCAACTTACAGCTTTCCACAGATGTAACACTGCTAACTATCCATGAGAAGAACTAAATTTGCATAAATTTGTGGCAGAGGAAGTAGGATTAATCTAATAATCCAGCTTCTCCACAGTATTTTTCAGCCTCCTCACAGACAAGCCCTAACCATGATTAGCTCTAGTCAATGGGCTGTGAGTGGGAGCAAAGAACAGAAGGGCCAGGGGCGCCTGGGTGGCTCAGTCGGTTAAGCGGCTGACTTCGGCTCAGGTCATGATCTCGCGGTCTGTGAGTTCAAGCCCCGCGTCGGGCTCTGTGCTGACAGCTCAGAGCCTGGAGTCTGTTTCAGATTCTGTGTCTCCCTCTCTCTGACCCTCCCCCGTTCATTCTCTGTCTCTCTCTGTCTCAAAAATAAATAAACGTTAAAAAAAAAAAAAAAAAGAACAGAAGGGCCAGTGCACGACACCCTGTTGTCTCTTCCTCGGCTCTGGTGATTAGTACCTCCCAGATAGTGGACCCTCTGTCAAGCGAGCTTGCTGAGCACCTATGTCCTTACCCCCACCATGACCTGCACTGGATATGTAGTATGGGCCATAACCTTAGCTGTGTTAAGATCCTGAGAATTCAGGGTTTATTTGTTACCATGACATAGCCTAGTTGTACCACTGCGATTTGAAATAAGGAATATCTATTTGGTCTCTGTCCCAATTACTGGCACAGAGCTCCTAAAACCCTTGCATTACCTAAAAGAGCACTAAAAGTGAAAGACCTACTTTTTGTTATTCCTAAGAAGTCCGATTCAACCAAACCAGAGTTTATGTTAAGGAGGTGACTTTTGTTAAGTTCCAAAGATGGGGGGCTGGTTGCCAGGGGCAACAACAAAATGATTAGAGGGTCAGAACTCTCAGCATTTCCCACTCAGATCACCAGGGAGAAGAAGGCTAAAGACCAAATTCAACCTCAAAGGCTAATGATTTAATCAATCATAACCTGTAATGCAGCCTCCATTAAAAAAAAAAAAAAGGACTGGTAAGGAGAACTTGCAGGCTGGTGAACATGTGGAGGTGCTGGGAGAATAAATCTTGCCCAGTACATCTCTCTATCTGGCTGTTTCTGAGTTATGTCCTTTGTAATAAACTGGTGAGTTCCCTGAGTTCTGTGAACCACTCTAGCAAATTAATTGAACCCAAGGAAGGGGTCTTATAAACCTCTGAATTATAGCAGTAGTTCAGAAGCACAGGTAACAAGCTGGGTTTGTGACTGGCATCTGAACAGTGGGTACTTCTGGGCCAGATCCCTTAACCTGCTGGATCTGATGCTATCTCCAGGTAGGTAGTATCAGGATTGAGTTAAATTATCAGATACCCAGCTGGTGTCCAGAAAATCTGAGAAGTGTTTGGTGTGGGAAAAACTACCACACATTTGGCGTCAGAAGTAGTACAGCAATAGTGTAAAAGCAAAGGAAACACACAATGTTTTTCTTTTACACTAGTCTATTTTAACACTGAAATTAGTACTAGAAGTGGGGTGTTACTATTATAGACACAGAATCTTGGCTTAGCAGATTGAGCAGCAGGCAGCAGCGAAATTAATATCAGAGGTTGGAAAGGTGATCCAGATTATATAATAGCAATACATTTCATGATCCTGTCACTTGCAGTAACTTGGAAGGCACAGCACTTGTATACTGAACCTGAAGCTCTAGAACAAGGGTTAACAAATTAAGGCCTATTTTTGTGAAGAAAGTTTTATTAGAACACAGTTCTCTTCATTCAATTACCTACTATATACAGCTGCTTTTGTGTTATTAGCTGTTTTGTGTTAGAGCTAAATAGCTGTGAGAGAGACTCTATCATCTGCAAAGGCTAAAAGATTCTCAAGTCTTTACAGAAAAAGTTTGCTGACCCCTGCTCTAGAAGAGATTGGGAAGCAAAACCTTCATAATGTGTGTTGATGGCCATTGGCCGCATTTGAAAGAACTGGCCACTTTAAAAGCAAAAATGAAAGGGACCTGGAGTCTAGATTTTCAGGACCTTGCCATTCTAGAAAAGCTAAATGCTACTGAACCCTTAAAAAATGGCAGATTGTCCAGTAACTCTCTCCCCGTCCCAACCCAATATGTACATTTTCCTTGACTTGACAGTGGTATTATGTCCCGATTAAAACCTCCTAACTTGAAAATATCGTAAGATGAAAATGCATTTAATATATCTAACCTACTGAACATTAGAGCTTAAGGCTACCCTACCTTAAACATGCTCAGAACGCTTACATTAGCCTACAGCTGGGCAAATCATCTAACGTGAAGCCTGTTTTACAGTCAAGTGTCGAACAGCTAATGTGATTTATTGGTGGTGTCCTAAAAGTGAAAACCAGAATGGCTGTATGCGTAGGGAAAGCCTGCTACGTGCAGCAGCCGTTCACCCTGTGACGGCGTGGCGGCGGGAGCCGAGGCACTGTGACAGAGTGCTGCACCACATTATCGCTAACCTGGGAAAGGATCAAATTCAAAGCACGGTTTCACACCATACTTTTCACACCACAGTAAAGTGGAAAAATTAGGTGGAGCCCCATGAGGAAGGGACCATCTGTGCTCCTCCACCTTACTAATGAGCCAAAGTCAGATGACTTATTTTAGACAATGGAATGTGAGGGAGTATGTTGTACACCAAATCTGAAAAGTTCTCTATATTTAAAAAAAAAATTTTTTTTTAAAGTTTATTTATTTTAAGAGAGACAGAGAGAGAGAGAGCGTGCGCACACAAGCATGGGAGGGTCAGAGAGAGGGAGGGAGAAAGAGAGAATCCCAAGCAGGCTCCACACTACCAGCACAGAGCCCGACGCAAGGCTTGAACTCGTGAACTGTGAGCTCATGACCTGAGCCAAAATCAACAGTCAGACGCTTAACCAACTGAGCCACCCAGGCGCCCCGAAAAGAAGTTTTAAATATGCTTGATTTCGCTTGGCTCTTGCTCCTCCATCTTTCACCAGGAGGAAGGGATGTGCCCCAGGGAGGCACCCTTTCAGCCTGGATGCTGAAACGTGAAGGTGGAACAAACCTGGGATCTGAAGCAGTGCCACATGGCCAACCCTGCAGACCCCTGAACAAGCAATAAACGTTGTCTTATGCCACCAATACCTTGGATTTTTCATGCAT